GTTTTTGGAACAACGCTCGTCAGATACACTTGTCAGTTTCGTTAAAGGATACAGCCTTGATTGAGAAAAAAGTTCTTACTGCGCCCAACACAAAGCGCAAAAATCGTTTGTATATCCTTTTAAAAATTATACACTTATGAAGTTAATTAACTAAGTTAATTTAAATCAATTTAACCTTAATTTTATGAATCTGAAAATATTTCCAAATATTCATGACTTTGAATGGATTCGGATACTTCCTCATTCTTTAAAATTGTCATTGGGTTAACTGCTTCATATAATCGAAGTCCTAGAAAGCCTTTAATTTCAGTGGTATAAAACAGTCCAATAAGATTCTTTATCTACGCTAACACAACCATCATGCTTGACATAGAACTAATTAATTAATAAGATAATGTCACTGATGAGTAATAGTGACTGCATATAGTGTAGTTCAAATTATCCTTTATATGACTTGTCCTCTATGGCTATGGGTGTTCCATGAAAGCAGGTCACCGTTCCTCCAGCATTCCATATTTTCAGGCGAGTCACACGGCTGACTCATCGTCCCTTGGCGTCGTGAAAGGTCGAAATTTACATATGCTAATTCAGTCCGTTGAGGAATTTTTGCCATCGGAACGTGACCTCGATAGGACACCTTCCACATTTTACACTCCCTTGCTCTTCGTCTGACAACCAATTTTGTTCTGCCGGCTTTGATGGCAGATCAACATTCAGTGCTATAGGTCAAGACTGTAAGGGAGGGTCAATCGATCAGTTCCTCATTCGTCCACATGGGCGGATCACTGTCAAGTAATGATGCTTTAACGGATTAGGGTTGGTCGATGCGATCTTCTTCTTCGGATGAGTTTCCTGTTTAACGAGTTCATCACGCACTTGCCTGACGGTCGAAGTATACATGGCTTATGACATTTACAAGTTCTTCGGCAGCGACCTGGATTGAAACCTCACACAGTGATCGTGTCGCATCCATTTCCTCTTGAAGAGGTTTACCTCCAATCTGACGGTAAGACATTCAGTTGTTCTTGCCACAGCTGGGTCTTGTATTGAAGCTCAAATGTGGCTTGTGTTCAGGCAATGCGGTCATCCGCAAAAGAACGTATGCTAGTTCCTATTCGCCAATGTTGATGCCGTTTGGTGCACACCAGTTTAACCGGTGGCGATTCAAGGCCGGGCACAGAGGGCTGGTTGGCGGTAATTATTGATGCGACGTTGTTCAACGAATAGTCTGATGTCAGTAGTACAACTAGTGTTCAATTTCTTAATCAGGATGACGTAAACAGGGTTCATGTGATGTTCGCGCAAGGCGTTGAATTCAGCCAGCAATTCGATCGAATCATACGGCTTCTTGGAACCGATGAGAGCAAAAGAATCATACGGCAACATTCATTCATTGCATTTCTCCATCAGCACTTGAACCGTAGACAAATGGTCAATGGTAGAAATTCTTGTCCAGAAACTGATTTGTTCCCAGCTTGTGACTCATTCTTCAGGCTATTCGCTACATCTCTGAAACGGACTGACATCTCAATATTCAACCGACTACGGGCATCAAAGATTATGAGAGAAAAATAGTTTACATTACAGCATATTAACCATTTAACCAGGAGGTACACAGGCATTGAAAATGTGGACATACTCTGGGTATGCTGAAACCAGTAACGGTACGAAAAAACAAAAAGTAAATTTGTTCAGCGTGAAAGAATATGAAGCTTCAAGATAGCAAAGCAACTCGATGCTTCGCTCGGGTTCTTATGAATTTTCTTTAGCACGGTAGTAGTTTCTAGGCAGCACATTTGATCGTTGATCGTTTGTTAGCTTTTCGCTACATTTCAGGCCTTTATAGACCGATGATTTACTGCCTAATGCAAATTTTTAAGATATTCATCAAAATATTGAACATGAGTACAGAGGCATACACTGATTCATGATTTGCTGAAATAATAATCAATTAATTATTAACATCTCATGCTTCAAGGGTATCCGTTTCTAGTCGATGTAAAACTCTAATCCCCTGAAGCGATTCGATTCCGCTCACCCGTGGCATGTAAGGGTGAAATATACAAATGAAGCATTGTGTCTGTATTTTGTCGCTTCCTACAGACGGATTGAGCATTACCCAAAACGTTGGAGAACGGAATACTATACATAATAAATTTATAGGTCGTATAATCCCGTAAAGGACGTGTCGAATTTTAAATGAAAAGCTGTATAATATTAACCAAGTTTAGTTTGTACATGCCATCTTAACGATGATACCGGTGTGCTGAGTCTAAAATTGTTTAGAATAAGAAATTTATAAGTATTTTAGTAGCCTATAGCTTTGACTAAGAATCAAAACCACAAGTGAAATAAAAAGGAAAATTTGTAGGCATTAGAATGTTGGCTTTGCTTACAGTTTCATGATTAGATCTTTCATGTCCCTTTCTTTCCGTAACGTTAATAATGAAGCGCTGATCTTCATCACCATGACATCGGGTAGGAGTGTTTTATTTCAAGGGCATAGTCTAGAGCTGTGCTGTGTGACAGTCATAGTGTGTAGTCCGTTGTTTCTTTCCCACAGAGTAACATTCAGTTATCAACCTCAGAAATAAGTGGTTTTATTGTCAGCCATAAATAATTTTCTTAAGCTTTTTACCATTCTTTACCAGACTTGCCATGCTCCATCAAATTCTTATAATCAAAACTTTGGTTTATGCTCCGTTGGTTTTCAATGGTTCCACATAAGTAACAATTAATACCTGTTTCTACCTTTGAGATGCATAACGACCTGAACGAGCAAGTTGGGAAAAAATATTTTATTGTATTTCACTGCACCTCATAATCTGTATGATGCGAAAATTTCCCTGTATCAAAAGTTCCCCATCTCCCTGCTCAAGCGTCTTTCATGGCTTTCGTGTACTTTGCAGTTTCGTCCACTCTATTGCAATTGAAGACTGCACACGTGCATTCAGACTGATATGCTGGCTTTGTATGGAACAAAGATATAATCGTGTTTTCTTTATGAGTCATCTAGAAAATTGGTTCTCGAAAATTTCTTCCGGGATTATGACAAAAGAGTTACAAAGTGTAGGATCTTTCTCTTGACCATAATTGCCATTGATGGTGGGAGACACTCCGTCAACCTCAATTGCCAAAACTTTCTCAGCCGACATTTCCAAGATTGATGCAGCTTTCGCTACAATAATTGCCACTCATGAGTACACATTTAATTTAGATTTCCCCTATCGTTCAATCCATGCTTAAAATCCTATTCGTTCTATAAGCGGTTAGAGAAACAATGAACATAGATAAACATGCAGAAATTCAAATTAGTGAATAGGTCGATAGATAGATGGATACGAGCTTTCATACTTAGTCTGATTTAAATTCAAGGAGCTATAATCAACCAGCATAAATTAAATGCATGAAACAAGCACACAACTCGAATTCCTGTTTTGAATATTGAACATCACAGTGCAAATCTCATAGAACGTTATCAGGGTGATGCGATTTATTTTTCAAGAAAATATTAAATTTTATTGAAGTAAATGCTCTATACAGGATGCTCTACTACATACCCTCATATAATCATGCTCATAGCTAAGCGGTAACCCCAAAATTTCTATATGGGGTCATCAGCAGCTCCAGAACGTTTAATATGTACAGTGTAATCATTGCCTCTCATAATTTTAATGACTTATTGGACAGTTAAAATTCAGGGCATCAGATTCTTCCCTCTGTGAAGCTTTCATGCAGCCGGAGAGTAGGAAATTAATGAAAGAGAAATGTTGAACAAGCACTGTTATTCACTTATCAAGCTCGGGTCTGCTCTGTAGTGGTGCAACTAACTAAATTTACCAAAAGACTTTATTGCTTGGAAGAGATATGGAATCTTAAGTCCAGT